TCCTGCCACTGATAGTGTTACTGCTCGTAGCAGGTGAATCAAAGGTCAAACAAACTTTGATAATGTTCCATCAAATGTCCCACTAAACCCTGACACAAAGGTCATGCACAACTGTACACCACAAAACCTTTGACTACTGTCCAAAAATGTTTGAAGAAGTCAAAGAAAAATTGATGGAATCATGAAAACACATGCATCTTTGTCATAAAAACATTCATGCATTTTGGTTCTTTGGTTTCATCATAGATTTATTAAAGGTTTTCTGGAAGAATGACAACATCTGTTTGGTCAAAAGTAGACAAACAGGGTGCGTCGGTAGCTCAACAGGCTGAGTGGGTGAGCCATAAACATGGGCTATAGTCCCCGACGCAGTGACCATGGGTTCGAATCCAGACCATCACCATGTGCTGCAGGTCCTTCCCCCATTCTTCTCCCTACTTTCCTGTCTTCCTCTCTACTGTCCTGTCAAATAAAGCTGAAAGGAGAAAAAAAAAGATACCTGTTTTATATTTATACAGAATCTTTCATATTTGGCTAAACGTCCTTTGGCCATTTTCACCTCAACAGTGTGCTTTTGGTTTCGGTCCACAAGCTTCTGGTTGTATCTTTGACTCCTCTTAACAAAGCTAGTACAATCAAACTAAATTTGTTGTCTTTCTGACTCAGACTAGTTTCTTCATCAGTCCACAGGTTCTTGATGAGGTTCAAGTCAGGACTTTGGGGAGGCCAGTCTAGATCCTTCATTCCAGCCTGATCTAAACATTTCTTTACCACTTTTTATGTGTGTCTGGGGTCATTGTTGTGTTGAAACACCCACCTGTGTCCAAGATCAACCTTCTGATGATGGATTTAGGTTTTCCTGAATAATCTGGAGGTAATCCTCCTCCTTCATTGCTCCTCTTACTTTGCGGTAAAGCTCCAGTCACACTGACAGCCTAACAGCCCCAGAGCATGATGCTGCCACCACCATGCTTGATGGTAGGTTTGGCTTTTTGGGGTTAAAGGTCACACCTTCTCTCCTCCAAACATGTTGATGGATATTGTGGCCAAATAGATTTTGTTTCATCTGAACACAGAACTTTCCTCCAGAAGGTCTTCTCCTTGTCCATGTGATCAGCAGCAGACTTCAGTCAAGCTTTGAGGTTCTGCTTCTGGAGGAAGAACTTCCTTCTTCATGCAGACTCTCAGCTCATGTTGATGTAAAACACTGAACGCTGTGCAGAGCTGCTTTTTGCTGATGCTTGGTTGACTCTTGGCCATCGTGACCAATCGTCAGGTGATAGTTTGTGTTTTCTTCCTGATTGTGGCAGTGACACAACTGTACCATGAACTTTATACACGTAAACACTTGTTTGCACTTTGAGACTTTTGGGGATCTATAGCTGCTTTGAAATGGCTCCAAGTTACTTTCCTGACTTGTTCAAGTCAATGATTTGCCTTTTCACATCTCTGCTGAGTTTCTCAGACTTCCCCCCCACTGTAGTGTTTGTGTCTGAGTCTAATTGATGGATCAAATGCGCCCTAATTAAATGAGCTCAGAGGAGTCGGCAGCTGTCGTCAATTGTGACCATTTGTGAGAAGTTATGAGGCCACTGAGAAAATCTGATGAACACAACTTTCTACAGCACCTAAACTGATCATTTATGTTGCTGCATGGATACTTTTGACCCAGAAGATTTTGTTACCCTAAATGTACATTCAGCCAAATGTCAGATCGCTTGTTTAAACTGAAGCAACTAGGGACTATTTATTATGCTAATCCTTCTCTGCCAATTGTTCTGTTTATAAAATGTATGAAACAGTAAAATATAAATACAGAAATGTCACCTCTTATCTCCCACAGTCAAAGGTATGAAGTCATAGTGCTTGTTTGAATTGTCCAAAAACTAAAGATATTCAGTTAACAGTCAGATATGACAAAGAAACACACAAATCATCACATGTGAGATGCTAAAACTAGAACATTTTTAGAATGATTACTTAAAAAAAACGACCAAAATGCTGAATTATCCCAATTAAGTCGTTCAGCTTCTGGTTGATCAACTCATCCACTCATTCCTGCGGCTCTAAGCTCATCCTGTCACTCGTGCTGCATCTTTTCATTTCTAGAACACGTTGCTGTTGTTTTCAGCAGCGGCCACATCAGCCTGCGTCTCTGGGAGGTCGGTTCCCCTTTAAAAGAATTCGTGAAACGCTGACATGGTTCCGTCCAGAGCTGAGGGTGAGGAGGAGGAGGAGGAGGAGGAGGAAGGGTGAGGAGGGGGAGGATAGAGGCACCTCAGTGAGACGCACATCCACAGCCAGGAGGCTGTTTTTCATCATGTAGGAGCAGAAACTGCAGCTTCAGCTCCAAACTTCGGCATGAAGCCTGAGCTGCTCTGACAGAACCGGCGACTGACGCACTCGGATTTTTTATTTTTTGTTTTTTTTTTCTGCAGAGAATTAGAAACAAAAACGCAGGTAAGCTCGTTTCCAGGCTCCTTTAGAGGTGACTGGATCTTCTTTCCTCCAGGCATCAATGTTTCATGCGCGACCCTGAGTCCAGGCTCGCTGTCAGACATGAACTTTGGTCTGAATGTGTCACATTACAGAGCTGATGGTTGGTGCACAGCGAGATTAAAGTCAGTCTGTCTGTCTGTCTGTTTGACCGCTACAGACAGACAGACGGACAGACAGACAGACAGACAGGCTGCCTCCAGCACCAAGGACAGAGCTCCGGAGGCTGCTGCGCACTTTGAAACCCAAACACCGCTGCTGATGATCCACAGACGAGCTGTCAGACTGTTCATACAGCAGCTTCGGCTTTTTTTCTGTTTCCTCAGACACTGCAGGGCCTCCTGACAGACACAAACCATGTTAACTCTTAACTAAAGCCAGTCTGAGGAGAGGAAGAATCAAGAATGCTGGTTTTTGAAGGGACACATGCCAGACCAGGACACAAGAATGAAGAATCAGCAGTGGAGGCATCAGACAGACATGCAGAAACATAATATGTTATACAGAGCTTAACAAATGTTTTAGACCACCACCCAACGTCAGGTTTGTGCCACAGCTGCTCTAAATTAACAGCATTGGTAGTTACCAGAATCATTTTTATGTTTCTGTAATGGTTAATACACCAGTATGGAGAAGCTTGTTGGATGTTTTACAAAAAAACTAAAAGAAATAGTAAAGCACATTATTATTTCTTGATTAACCCTATTCAGACTTTCATGTTGCCATACCCAGGAGGTCTTGTGGGGTCCACTGGACCCCAAGAAGGAATATGTGCAAAATATTTGTTGGCATTTATTATAGACTTTTATACTATGTTAAATACATTTTCTGATAAGTTGACGTATTTTTCGTTCCAAATCCATGACAAATGTCCCTCTTTTTATATTACCTGTCACCTAAACCAAATGGCTGGGGTTCCAAAAGACCCCAAAAGTCCTGAATAGGGTTAAGATGTCATTCCTGAACAGAAAACATCCATTTTAGTGGTTGAATGTGATGCTTGAATCATTTGTGACTTCTCAGAGAAGCCCAGTGGCTCAGATTTGGGTATAAAAAGGTGAATTCAGTTTGAAATTCCTCATTCCTGTTTAAAATGGTAAAACGTCGAGAGCTGAGATTAAAGCACTTCATGATGCTGGATGGTCTATACATGTATACGGTGCTTAACAAATTAGACAGGTGGTCTAATACATGAGTTAATAACTGTATATACAGACAGCAAATGTGAATTTCTGCATGCTTTCTATTGAACAGTAATTGCGTTTGTGTTCCAGGGAACAGGACAAAATGTTCAAAGTGGTTGAAAATGTGTGATAGATTTGCCTTCATGTGTGCAGGTAGAAGAAAAATCTAATAACTAGTTAAAAAAAGGACAAATGTCAGATCAGGGAAAAGACACAAAAATAGATTTTAAATGGGAAAAAGAAAGAATATGTAGGAACATCAACAGTGGAGGGATCCCTGTTCCAGGACAGAAAAATCAAAAATAAGATGACACTGTGCAGGAACACAATATGATAATAATAAACTGCAAACATACATGTGTGCATGCTTCGACAACACCAGCTGCTCTTCACTGCTCCTCCAGTCAACACACCAAATGATCTAAATGGTTAAAAAACTGTGATAGCTTTGGCTTTATGTGTGCAGATATACTGATATCTGAGAGTGGTATTTCCCTCAGCTAGAGACCAAAATCAGAGCTAAAAGTCAGTCAGTACTGAATTCATAAGGAGGCGCTGTCACACTTTCACTTTTGCCTTCCTTTACCTCAGTGCTTAGTTCGTTTCTGTTGCTCAGATCTGATTTATTTTACTCAGAGAAGAAGAATCAAATTGATAGTTATAAAAAGATGAATGACAGATTTAGAAAAAGAAACACAAACCCAATAAATGAAGTAAGAAAGGCAGTTTTCCCATTGAGATGAACAGTGGAGGATCCCTGTTCCAGGACAGACAGACATGCTGAAACAGAAGGGCAACATATAATATAAACAGACTGCAGATGTAGACTTCTGCATGACTTTTACAAGACAGCAGGATGGATCAGAATTCTTTTTAAAAAGTGTGAGATATTTGCTTGTGAGTGTGCAGGTGCAATGATATCAGAAAATTATTCTGCAGTTTTCATGTAGCTATCAATAAATTCCACAGCAGGAAACCTCAAACTTGGGGCAAAACCTACCTGCATGACTTTAAGTAAGATGTTTGTACTGTAGTTTGGGTAGATTGCTGGTAAAATTATCCTTAAAAATAGACCCACCTTGGGTTGTTATTGAGAAGCCAGGCTCTCAGTCTGCTTTAAAACAGGCTGCATAAACAGACAGAGGAGGTTATTAACACAGTCGGACCCAACGTTCTCTAAGTAATCCTGTCAGCAGACTCTGTTTGCCGTTTTCTTTCCAAATAGCGAATCTACCACAATGATGCATCACTAAATGTGTTAAACCGTGTGTGATCTACTCTTTGACAGACGGATTGTGACTCTGTTTTACAGGAGCAGAAATGGCCGCCGCAGACGTCTTCTTCTTCACTTTGTGGATCGCTGCCGTCCTCACCCCTGCACTCAGCTGCCCTGAGCTCTGCGCGTGTGCAGATAAGTACGGCCGCCATTTTGCTGAATGCTCCTACAGAGACTTGGTTGAAGTCCCAGACGGTTTACCTCCAAATGTTACAACTGTGAGTCTCTCCGCTAACAAAATCAGTTTGATCCCAGTGGGGAGCTTCGATAACGTGACCCGGGTGACCTCTCTGTGGATGGCCCACAACGAGATCGTCTCCATCGAGCACGGGACCCTCTCGCCTTTGGTTCACCTGCGCAACTTTGACATCAGCTACAATAAAATCGTAGACTTCCCCTGGGAGGACCTGCAGAACCTCACGGGTCTGTATCTGCTGAAGATGAACCACAACGAGATGGTCCACCTGCCGAGGGACGCCTTCGCCAACCTCAAAGACCTGAGATCCCTCCGACTCAACAACAACAAGTTTGTGACCATAGCTGAGGGGACGTTCGACGGTTTGGTGGCTTTGTCGCATCTGCAGATTTACAGCAACCCCTTCGCCTGCACCTGCTCCCTGGACTGGCTCAGAGACTGGATCTCCACAACCACCATCTCAGTGCCGGAGCAGAATCTGATCATCTGCGCAACGCCCGAGAAACTGAAAGGAGAAGTGATCGGGAAGCTGCCTGAGTCAAAGTGTATGAGCCCGAATGTAATAATACGAACTGAGCCGAACGCAAAACTCCACGAGGACAGTAAAGTGGTTCTGACTTGTGAGTTCAAAGGAAACCCAAAACCGCTGGTCATCTGGGACATTCACAGCAGAAGCCTGAAACAAGAGGTGCCTTTGTTGTTTACTGAGGACGACTCCGTAGAGTCTCAAGAGGAATCCTTAATGTCCCACGGCTCTGTTAAAGTCTTTAATAACGGGACTCTTCTCATTTCAAAGCTCCGGAAGGAAGATGGCGGCAACTACAGCTGCTCCGCTACCAATGAGTTTGGCAGAGACGAGGATTCGGTGCTAGTTGAGGTCGTGGCGTCGCTAAAACCGACACCTGTTTTGGAAACAACCACAGCAACAACTCACGCTCAAACAAACCCACCTATACAGCAAACAACAGAAAAAACATCCAGCTCTGTTCGTGTCCCTGTTTTAAAGAGAAAAGTCATCGTACCCACTCCTTCTCCGACTGCAGACATCAAGACTTACGAGGATGAAACAAGACATCCGCCACATTCGAGCAAATGCGGCTTGACGGCGAACACGAGATACGTTTCAAGCCACGTCTCCAACGGCAGCCTGGACGACATCAAGCAGTACACATTCGACTTTGGTGTGATCGCATTAGGGGTGTCAGAAACTGAGGCAACAGTGCGACTCAATCCTCTACTCATACCCAGAGACAAGAGCGCCAACGGGGCCGCCGTCGCCACGCCTGACAGCGCCGAGGCCGACAGCGAAGAGCACGACGGCCTCTCAGACGCCTCCGAAGAAGTCCACTCGAATGGCTTGTATTTGTGCGTCACTGCCGACCGCAAACACTCGGCGGTGCAGTGGTCGAGGATCGAAGAGGGCGTCAACATGTACCTGTTCAGCGGTTTGCGCCCCGGCACCAACTACTCGCTGTGTCTGACCTACCGAGGGGAGGACTGCGAGGTCCAGGTGCTGTTCACCACCAGGAGGAGGGTCCCCAACCTGCTCATCATCATCTCCGTCAGCATCTGCCTCCTCACCGTGTCCACTGTGCCGCTGCTCGGCGCCACCTGCTTCCACCTGGTGTACAAGTACCGCAGCAAGACCTACAAGCTGATCCTGAAGGCCAAAGACCAGTACCACATGGAGAGGAACCTCACCGCCAACTTCAACCTCCACGCTCCGCACACCGACTCCCAGAGGAAGATCAACGGCAGCCAGCTTGACGAGGAGGAGGGCGAGACGGAGAGCGTGGACGAGGACAAAGAGGCCGACACGGAGGAAAGTGTGGTGACCGAGTCTTTTAGTTTGTCTCAGTGCAGGAATTTAGACGACTGCGAGGTGGGATCAGAGTACAGCGACCGGCTGCCTTTGGGAGCTGAAGCAGTGAATATTGCAAGCAGCTACAAATACCCCAATCAGTAACTGCTGACAGAGGGTGCAGCTTTTTTTTGCATTTAGTCATAAACAGTATTTTTTTCTCTGCTTGTGCCAACATTTTAGGTTCTCTTTAGCTTTGCAGAAATACTGTGATCTGACCAAACACATGTATTTGCTTTAAACCACAAATCAAGCCACCACACTGAGTGGCTGTGCTGCAGTCAGCTGCCGGCCTCCATTGATCGTCAGTGGATATTTTCCAAACATTGTAGTGACAGCTGAACTGGGCCTAGTTTAAGTCCATATGTGTTTATAGTTGGAAAGATCACAGCTCGATTTCTTCCTTTAAAACATTTTTTGTCATTCGTGCTTGTACCATTGGGAAAACAAGCTCCCACAAACAACCCAAAAAAGCAAATAAGACAAAAAGTGTTTGTTCCAGAGAGAAACTGAGTGACGCACCATGAAAGTAGTTAACGTCTGTGCAGCTTCTCGTTCATTAAAAATAGTTTTCTATTTTGAGAAATGTGCTTATTTGCCTTCTTGGCAAGTGAGAACATCTGCACCACTTTCATGCAGCCACACCCTGGAGACTATTAGCTTAACCTAGCTTAGCTTAGCATAAAGACTGGAAGCAAAGGTAAACAGTTACCTTTATAGTAAGCTAGTTGGCTTAAGTCACAGAAAATATGCTCTTTCACTTTCAGTCTTTAATTTAGAAAAATCCTAAGAATTTTTAAACGTGCATCTGGATCCAGATCTGCACTAAAAATACACCTAGTGATAGACAATCATGGGATGCATGTACCAGATATCTAAAAACTGAATAAGACAGGAAGTTTTTTTTCTTTTCTTTTACTTACTCTCGCCAAAGTGCTTGCTCAAAGAGAATCTTTTGGATTTGTTGGGTTTCTCTCTGTAATATAAAGTCCTAACATTACAATGTAAGTGCCCTGAGATGTTGTCAACTGCAATATATACATGAAATTGAAAATGCATTGAGTGAGAAACATAAGAAATCTAAATTCATCTACATCTTTAAAAAAAAAAATCCTGGATCTTGCCATCCTTAGTAAGGTGTCGAGCCACCACATTCTCCAAGCCTCTGAACTTTACTTGAGGGATGAACAACATTTTTTTTTTTAAAGAAACAAGATAAAGATAATAGATGGTAATACAGGTGGAGCGGTATGTCGAACACATCGGTCCAAAATCCAAAAAAGAGGTGTTCAGTTGGGTTGAGATCTGGTGACTGTGAAGTCCACAGCATCTGATTCACATCTTTCTAATCAAAGTGACCCTTTGTGTGCTATAGACGGAGACATTGTCATCCTGGGAAGTACCAGACATCTGTTATCATGATGATCACTCATAAAACATTTTGTATTATAAGGGAACCAAGTCGACCCAAACCACGACAGAAAAATGCCCCCAACAACACTGTAGGGGACCAAGGTTCAGGCTTTTCCTTTAATTTGGCAGCTGTATGTTCCTCAGCTTCTCTGGAAAGATATAACCTCCCCAATAAGCCGGTAATCCGTCACCGTAAACATGATGGTGAATTGTAGAAACAACATTTAGCAACAATTTGGAGGTCCTCACTGACTCGTCGGTACTTTTTTCCTCAAAAAAATGAGTGAATAGGTCCTATTTGATTGTTTACATTCTTGTTTGAGTCTCACTATTAGTGTTATTTCATTGTGTTGTCACAGATGCAGAGAGGAAGATTTGGAAGTCGATTGCAGAAAACAAGTAGAAACTTAATTATTGGCTTCATGTTTAGTTCTTCAGAGGATCTTGTTAGATCTGTTCCAACCTGTCGCAGGTGAAAAGAAGACGAGCGCTAGACAGCTCATCGATTATTTCTGGTGTCAGGATGAAAACAGCAGTTGCAATTAAAGTTTTAGAACAAAAAAGAATATGTGTTTTTAAAAAAGAAAAACCCAGCAAAGCTTGTGTCATGTATGAAATGCAAAGCGGTAGGAAAATGTCAACTAGATGTAGTCGGCAGAAGATAAGACCAATACTCAGCTTCAACCTACTAGAGTAAACCTGTGCTGTTGTTATAGAAGTGCTGTAGCTTAAAAATACAGAAGCTTAACCTTCTCAGAAAGGAGTTTAGATGTTAATAAAAAGCTGTGTTGTTTCAATGAAAAGATAAAAACCACTGCGTCCTGCAGCTACGAGCTCTTTGTCCAGTTTTACTGTGAACGTTTCCTTTGAAAATAACAGTAGAATCCAAATAAATGGCTGTTTTCAATTAAATTAATCGTGAAATGTGGATGATCAGTTCACTAACAGCACCAGCTCTAAGCGCTGTGTGTCCGTGGAGTTACTGCTCTGTTGTATCTGGGTCATGTGTCCTTCCTGCTGTATTTCACAGAGTACCGTGTTAGAAGACCTGCATGCTGCCCGTTGTTGTGTTGAGTCGCAGTATGTCCTGAATATCTAAATAACAGCTTCGGGTCTGTGTCTGCTGTCGTTTCTCTGTTGTTGTTTTTTCAGTTTTATACCCCAGTAACAAAGGAAATAGTATGTTTTTACCAAAGTGTTTAACTCTCCTAATCCTATGTGCCTCAATAAAGTTTGACAATAAGAAAAACTGATTGATGCTAATCTGTTTTTATGTCCATGTTGTGGCAAACACTGCAACCGATTCATGTCAAATGTAAGATGAAAAAATTATGAAATTAGGGTAAATATGTGTAAAAACATAGACTGTATAAAAGATGGACGTAGCTACCGTGACGTCACCCGGTGGTTTCTGCACTGAGAAAATGAAGCCAGGGTTTTGCTACTTCCTGGTTGACATCTTGGATTTTTAAAACCAGTGACGCAAAAATCGTCGGAGGGGGGCGGAGCCACAGGAGCAGCGATTGGTCAGACGGATTGAGAGGCGGGCCCTCTCTGCCCCGCCCACATTTACCACCTTCTGCTCGCTTCGTCTGTATGGTCGCTGCCGACTGTCAATCAAGCCAGCCACGCCCCTTGCCCCGCAAAATTTTGACGATTTTTTAAAAATTCAGTATTGATTTATTTTCAGATTGGCCACCTGATCTCTGGATGAAAACTAATTTTTAAAAAATCCTGAGCTGTAGGAATGTGGTATGTCGTGATCTGTGATCACTTCTTTTCCAATTCCAGTCTATGGGAGCCAGGGCTTTTTGGAGCCAGGACTAGTGGACGTAGTGATATTGCAGGTTTTTGACACTTCTGGGTTGGCTTCATTTTTCAGGGCCGGTTGCTACGTCCATCTTTTATACAGTCTATGTGTAAAATATGACAAAATATGACCTTCCTGTAACCCGTGTAGCTCGGATATTTTCAATTTAACCCTCAAATAATTTAAAGAAAAAATATATTGCATATAAAATTTGTTGAAAGAAGTTATGCATCATTTGTGATTTTATCTCATGGCCATTAGAGGTTAACTGTAAATATGCAGAATATCAAGAGAAGCTTTCAGGTGGTTTCATCATTTGAATTGTTTAGATAATGAAAACAGGAGTTAATAAAAACGCTTCTATACATGAATCAGTGTTTAAAGGATCAGATAATAACTTGAAGCTTCGAACGGCGTCTGAAACAAACGCCTTCGCTTGCTGTTCGGTACAAAAATCTTTTTTGAAGAACACAAAAAATAAGTCTGATGCATGCTGGGAGATATTCTTTGGTCATATGAGACCAAAATACATTTGTTGGGCTCTGATGGAGTCCAGGATGTTTACCGTGACACCACAGTGGATGCATGGTCCTGACAGTGAAGCACGGAGGTGGCAGCATGATGATACGGGGCTGCATCAGCGTAAAAGGTGTTGAGGGGGGGATGACGTTTATAGATGTCTGTGTATAAACCAAAATACTGGCTGACAGTATGAGTCCCAGCCTGCAAAAGTTTGAAGAAGAGGAATGTTCCAGCATGAGAACCATCCAGAGCACACTTCTAAAACCACACAGTAGTTTCTGAAGAAAAAAAAAATGAAACTACAACCTGGACCAGTATGTGTCCTGACTTTAATCCAGTAAAGCATCTTTGGGATATTTTAAAAAGTAAGAAAGGTAGAAGAACTCAACCAGTAAAGAGCAGCTGAAAAGGAAATAATAGAAATAGAAGACAGACAAGTAAAAAAATCTGAATTTTAGTAATAAAAGGAGTTATGGGTTCCTACTGGGGGAGCTCTGCTTTTAATATTGTAAATCTAAACTCTTAGTTTTTAATTTAAAATAGGAGAGAACACCCTATGTTGTATAGACATGTGAGTTTAGTCGGACAAAAATGGCAGGAGAGCTGAAAAACAGAACAAAAACAACAGATTTAACAGCAGACTTTCTAACTGAGCAGTTTATTCTTCTTCAGCTGTCACGTGTCACATTTTAGAAAAACTGTTTGTATGTAAATCCATTAAAACAACAGAAAACTGCAATTTGGCATCTAAATGTGAAGTAATATGCAATAAAAAGTGTATTTAATCCTTTAATTTGTTAGTAGTTATTATAAAGCTGGAATGCAAGTAGAAATTGGTCCACATACAAACTTCTAACAGCAGATGTTCAGACATTATATCACAATTTATAGCAACCAAAGTTCATCCTGCAGTAAGTGTTTCAGTTTCTCAGATTTTCCTGTTTTATGTGTTTATTCTATTAAGGAATTTTATTGTACATTACATTTAAAATAAATCCTGTCAAAGCATCAGAGCACATCTGAGAATGTGCCGACAGCGCCGCATTAACCCGGGATAAAAATAAACTCTGACCGCCGATCGATTGTCTACTCCCGTTCTGATGCAGCCATCGATCAGCTCTGTCGGTCTGCGCATCGCCGACGTCAATATGGAAGCCTCTAGACTACTGCGCAGCCCGTAACGGACACCTGCTCTGTGGTTTCTGCCGGAGCCTCGGTCAGCTCCTGTTTGTGTTTAGATTAGTTAAATGTCAGCGTTTGTTTGTGCGACTGTGGTTGATGCAGGGTTTAGCCGAGCGAGCTGTAATGGAGGACAGACAGAAACCCTTGTGTTTACCGGGAGTCTGTTCATCCACTTATGAGCCGGTAAATACATCACATTCAGAGTTAAACTTTAAAACCTGACCTTTTGACCTCATGCATCTGATTTGACCTCCATTAAAGATCTTTGGATAAACCCTGACGGACTTCTTTAAGTTTACACAAGAGCCAACAACACTTCAAACAAGATCACGCCGGACTTCATTCCGTTTTGTCCGGGCTCGCTGGGGCCTCCTGAGCGGCCGGTTCTGCAGCCGGCTTGTCGGCCTCCTTCTTGCTGCCTTTCTTGGAGCTCCGGTTGGGGGTTCCGTTCAGGACGCTCTCTGAGCTCTGCAGCGTCTGGAAGTGCTTCCTGGAGCCCAGCAGCGACGGGTTGTTGACCAGCGTGTACAGCAGCTGCCAGCGAGAGCGAATGCGGCGGCTGCTGGTGGCCTTGCTGGGCCTGTTCTCCTGAATCCCTGAAAGCATGAAGGAGAAGCAGGCTGAGGGCAGAACGAGACAGCAGACTGAGGGGCTGAGGCTCCACAAATACACCTCATAGTCTCCTTCATTTTCCTTTTTCCACTTCATGGACATCTTTTTAACTGAATTACACAACCCTCGACACTTTAACAAGAACACTTAATCCTGATATTCATGCCAATGAAGAACTGAATTTAATTGAAATTAGAAAATGTTTTATGTTGGAAACTTTCCTTTAAGGGGCCAGAAAGTCATATA